TTCCTGTTGGAATATATATATCTATATATATATAGATATATATAGATATATATATCTATATATATAGATATAGATATATATATTATATACATATATGATATACAGTCTATAAACAATGCGGTTAATATGTTAAGGAATGTTTCTATGGGATGAAAACGTGATAAATATTCCCACTCATGACACAACCTCCCTTCTTAAAGCCTATGAAACCAGCTATTAGGATTGACAGCTCAGACATACTGTATATTGGGGGCTAGAATACATGTGAAGGTCAGAGGGAATTACACAGACAAGGTTGTGAGGTGAAGAGACACCTGCGCTAAATGAAAATGTCAAAAAGAAAGTGTAACAAAGAATTGATTTCTCTCAGCTTTACTGGAGCTTACAGAAATGTCAAAGAGCACCCGCAATGTGTTATCCAGTCATTTTACTTGTCTTTGCTGACATTTTGGTAATAATTCTCTTTGTGGTCCCAGTATGGTTACAGATTTTTTCTTTGGGTCTCTAGATAAACACATTTGGGAGCCCCTGTCCTACAGTACTTTTTTTGCCACCACACCTCCTCAATCTGATGGCCAGCATCATTGAACCTACTTCCTCAGAGCCCAGATTGTCTTAGGCCCATCCCCAGCCTGTGACTGGACAGTGAAAGGAGAGGCAGCACAGAGATTAGCTCATCTCTCTGTCACTCTGCTTTATTTTCCTATCAGCATGTTTCTTGCCAGCACATGAACCGATTGGCTCCTTGTACTGCTTCTTTTTCTCACGATCCAGCCCTGCTGTACAAGGACTGCAAGAGGGTGATGCCAGGTCAAATCCAGGTACTCACACCTCTTGCGTTAAAACATGAATGAATAAATGAATGAGTGAATAAATAAACAAATCTAAATCTAAATTCTATCAGGGTATAATGGTGGATGTGGAAAGTAAAATAACTTACAATCTAATATAGCATAAGGGGGATTCTGAAGGTGGAAGAGCCTCTAATCTAATACAGTATAATGGAAGATATAGAATCCGGAAGAGTTTGCAGTCTATTACAGTAAGAGAGGATACAGAAGGTGCAAGAGCTTACAATCTATTACAGTATAAAGGAGTATACAGAAGTTGGAAGATATTGAAATCTATTACAGTATAAGGGAGGACACATAGGTGGAAGAGCTTACAATCTATGACAGTATAAGGGAGTATAATCTATGACAGTATAAGGGAGTATAATCTATGACAGTATAAGGGGAGATACAGAAGGCGGCAGAGCTGACAATCTATTACAATATAAGGGAGTATACCGAAGGTGGAAGAGCTTACAATCTATTATAGCAAAGAGGAGAGATACAGAAGCTGGAGAAGTTTACAATCTATTACATATGGCAGATGAATACAGAAGCTGGAACGGGTAACAGTCTATTAGGGTGTATAACTGGCCATACAGCGATCTGGTTTTTTTTCCATTTGACCTGTGGGATGAACGTTAAAAAAAAATGCTATGAGCGCCTTGATCAAGAAATCCCCGCTGTTTCTTTTGTATTCTGACGGTGGCCACTATCAGAATACCTGAACAGAGCCGCAACAGAAGATTTTACAGACCGGCTTCTTTGATCCGCTGATAGAGGGATGTCAGTCAAAAGGGCCCTCAAGAACCAGGTGATATTCTTACAGTGTAAGCCCACCTTTAGGGAGAACACAAAAAGTGGAAGAGCTTGCAGTCTTTCACAATATAAAGAAAAAAATACAGAAGGCAAAAGAGTTTATGACTATACAGTATAAGGAAGGCATGCAGAAGGAGCAAGAGTTTACAGTCTATTATTATATAAGGAAGGGGTACAGAGGTTGGAGAGCTTACAGTCTATTATTGTGTAAGAGAGGAAACAGAAGGTGAAAGAGTTTACATTGTATCATTGTATAGGGTAGAGATACAGAGAGAGGATACAGATGGTGGAAGAGCTTACAATCTATTTCAGTACAGGGAAAGAGCATACAAATGACTAGGGTAAAAAGGAGAGATAAAGAAGCTGGAAGTGGTCACAATCTATTAGTGTAGAAGGGAGAATAGAGAAGACCTGTGATGGTATAAGGGAGAAACACAGATGCAGGAAGAGCTTACAGTCTATTAGATTATAAGAGAGGATACAGAAGACTTTTGATGATATAAGGTAAAGATACAGATGCTGGAAAAGCATACAGTTATGGTATGAAGGAGAATACAGAAGATGAAAGAGCTGCCTATTTAAACATTCTGGCTTTCAGAGGCCCATTTAGACTATGCCAGTGGCTTTATTACAGCCGTCCTGGAAAGAATGTTGATACAGATCATTAAACCTTGCTGGTAACCCTTATTATAAATGTCTTGTCAGTGTAAAGGCTGCAACAACTCCATGAAAAACCATTGTTTCTTTGTACCCTAGGCCCCCAGCCGGGACCATACTGCCATATGTACACTGTAACAGGTCAAAGATTCCAAAATATATAAACCGTCCTCATCTACATAAATGAAATACATAGAATGCCATGGCCTACCTACATCTGGGGACACTAGTTGCTGTCCCTGGTTTTAGTACAATAACAGACCTGAAAACAATCATCACTACATTTTCTGCAATTGCTACAAGAATACAGAAGAGACAGCCGGCCCGCTGATAACATCAGAAGGAAAATGGCGGCGTGGTAACTTGTGTGCTTTGATGGAGCTGTGGCTTACATAAGACAATTCAGGATTCGTTGGGCGTGTGTATATGTTTTTTGTGGACAAACCAACGGTCATGGTAAGAAGGAGAACAAAATGTAAAGGGGGAGTGAAGTTTCACTTTAAGATATATTCAAAACTTGAAATGCACTTTCCTACATAGATCTGGATAAGCATGGCATTACTGAATCAAGACAGTGTTATTGGTGATACAAAATGTATTTTTTTATTACTATGGAAATATCCCAAATATAAGATCTATAAGGGACACTGCCGGGGATATCTGACGCAGGGGGGTGCTCAATGATACAGCATAAGTAAACGCAACAGGTGACATTGGGACTTGTCAGAAAGAAAAGCAGTTTTGCACAAATTCATATTCAAATGCCAGTAAATGTTCTGTGATATTATAAAAAGCAATTTCAAAACTAGGACACCGAGATAAGGACAAGGATTGTTTTCAGCTAAGAGCCTGTGAGATTTGCAAACTATAGTCACATGGCTGAAATAAAGATCCTTAACCTTGTGTTAAAGCTTTATGAATTTGTGTTGAAAGAGTATATGTGTCTCTTGGTTGTATAATAGATCGTTTCCTGGTCAGGGAATTTCCTAACAAATATCTATCTCTAGGAATACCGTTATATGTAACACCTTAATGAAGAGCTCCAGGAAATGTAAAAAGTAACCTTTACAATGGTGCTACCCCGCACTGCAAGGGTTAAGTGCTCGTTTTGGTCTAGGGTCTAAAATAAAAAAATATACTGACGCGATCCTCTGTTCCGCAGCGGTCTGTTGCAGGTCCTTGGGCCGCCGGAGCCTGGGGAAGAAGAGGCCGGTCTAGCAGCCAGGCAGGACGGAGGATCTGACAATATTATTTTAGAGCCTAGACCAAAATGAGCACGTAACCCTTGCAGTCCCGGGGTATATACATTTTATACATGCCCGGAGTCCTCCTTTAAATTGTATGTAAAGACACATTTTTAAAAAATTTTTGGATAGACTAGAGAAGTGTTCAAACACACCTTATTTTTTGCCATCTGTGTCTCGCTGGGGAGATGCGGCAGTAAGTGAGGAAAAAATCTCCCCATTGAATTCCCATCTAAGTGTCACAATACTAATCTAACCAAAACTATGTAATATGAAGTCCTACCTAATCTATCCAATCTATCCAATCTATCCAATCTATCCCTCTAGCTTTCACGGCAACTTAGGGTTTCCCCTCTCTTTTCGTGTTTTGTAATAAGCAAACAGGTTTTATTAGTGATGTGACTGATCCAATTATAGGATACACAACGTGACAGATTCCTGTAGTAGCACTTGGAGTAAATTTCCAGCCAACATTGTCATATAACACATCAAGTATAAAGCCGGAGCAACTGCAATCCCATTAAGATAGAAAGAAGAGATCTCTCTTAATCATTGTGAGGAGGACCATTTGTGCACACCTTTACATTTATCAAATATCAGTAAATGCTTTATGATTTTCTAGTGCAATCCTAAGCAGCCATCTTCCGTATCTATCTATCTATCTATCTATCTATCTATCTATCTATCTATCTATCTATCTATCTATCTATCTA